TATTTTGTGGCAGTACTGGGGTTTGGACTCAGAACCTCATGCTTGCTAAGCAAGCACTCTTAAATTAAAACAGCTAATTTTTCACCTGGAACAAAAAGAGAGTTGGACCCTTGTATCACAGCATGTATAAAGACAATTTCCAGGTCTGTATTTTTTTGTAGAAACCCAAAAGTTATAAACAGATATATTTCATAATATTAATTATGAAAATTTTCACATGGAAAAGTATACTAGGAACAGAGTCAAATGTAAAATAACTCTAACAAAAATATTTGTAATATATAAAATTAATACATATTATGTCTAGACAGCTCCCACTACTCATAGGAAAGAAAGAAATGACAACAGTAGAAAAATAGATCAGTCAATGATGCAAATGAACAAATAACAGGAGAGGCAACCTAAAAGGCCAATAAACACACCTCACTAGTAGTCATGGAAATAAAAAATTAAAGAACAAGTAATGCATTGTTTCTTATTGATCAAAATGAGAAAAATTAAGAGCTTGGTAAAAGCCACTGTCATCAAAAATTTAGGGAAAAGAGTATTCATTCATACTGTGGGTGGAAATGTGACTTGTTATGGTTCAAAGCATATATACCTTTCATCTCAACAGTCTCACTCCTGGGAATCCAGTGCAGAGAAATGAAGGCACCAGCATGGAAGGCCATGTGCACAAGGAGGTCTACTTAAGTTATGGGAAGACTGTGGGAGTGTCCTGGAAAGAGCGAACATCCCAGGCCTGAGGCTGCTATCCTTAGTGAGGCCTGCGGCTGGTGTCTGGGAAGTTGGGTTAACAGTTTCTGACACCGGATAAAAAACTTTCCCTGAGGAGTGGCTCACTGTGCTTAAAGTGCCTGTACGATCAATGTAGCTTGTGCTGAATGCCTGATTTCCTTCTAGAAGTCTGGCAATTTGGTCCACACTAGGTAGAGAGCTCTATATGCCCAGCCCCCAATAAAAATGGGCACAGAGTCTCCCACAGGTTTCCTTGGCTTCTGCTGTCATGATACACTGTTGGAGGAATTACATCTGTCCTGAGCAACTCCACTGGGAGAGAGCTCTTGGAAGCTTGCTCCTGATTTTCTTTGGTTTTTATACTGTGTGCCTTTTTCCTTTGTAATTTTGTTTTGCATCCCTTTGCTGTAATACACTTTATTCATCAGCAAAACTCCATGCTGGGTTGTATGAGTGAATCACTGAAACTGAGGGTAGTCCTGGGCATCATTGACACAGGAGGTGATAAAAGATTTGTGTGGACAGAGAAGGCAAATGTAGGGGGGAAAAAAGGAAAGCATCAAAATATTGTTGAAAAAGAGAAAGGTGATCGTAAGGAAACTGATATGAACTATGGTCTCATTTTTATTAAAGTATGTGTGCTTGTGCATGCACACAGAAAAATATCAAGAAAGATGTTGGGGCTAGGGATGCAGCTGTCGTAGAGCACTTGCCTAAAATGGGCAAGACCCTGCGTTCAATCCTTAGCACAGAAAAATAAATGTGTTCACCACAATGTTTATAGTGCTACCTCTGGATGGTGAGGTTTTAGGTGATTTTTCTCCTTTTCCCTTACATTTTTTTGTATAATTTGAATTTGTTTTTTGTTTTGTTTCTGCAAGTCTGGGGATTAAAACCAGAGCCTTGCCCATGCCAGACAAGCACTCTACCACTGAGCCATACCCCAACCCTGAATTTGTTGTTACAATGAGCGTATGTTATTCACATAATCAGAAAAAACCCCATAAAGCTATTTTTATTTAAAAAGGAAGTAAAGCCCGATGGTTGTAAATTTTTGTTTAAAACAAGCTCCTACTGCTGCCTTTTCTAACTTACCATTAAATTTCTGTAAGGATATAGAAAAAGTGAAAACACACTTTACATGGAAAGGTAGGTGACTGGTGACACAATTCCAGAGGCTGGGAGAATTTTCCATGAATTCTGTGGCCTGTGGAGTTGGTCAGTAGATCACAGATCACAGATATCATACCCTGCATAGTCAGTCAGAGACTAGGAAGGGGAGCCTTTCCTCTACTCTAGTGAGCGCTCTGGTTCAGAAATTTGAGATCTAGCACATAGAGACCATTGGACAGCTTTCTGGGTACTGAATGGCAGATCATTAAGGATTCTACTAGCCATCAAGTGCCCACAGAGTGACTTCAGGGTAGGGTCCATAGTTTATTATGTATGCTGGGACACTTTTTTTTTTTTTTTTTGAGGTACTGGGGTTTGAACTTAGGGCTTTGTGCTTGCTAGGCAGGTGCTCTACCAGTTGAGTCATATCCTCCAGCCCTTTTTGTGTTAGTTATTTTTTGAGATAGGGTCTTCCTTAATGCCCAGGGCAACCTGGACTTGGATCCTCCGATCTGTGCTTCATGCAATAGCTGGGATGAAAGGTGCATGCCACCATGCCCAGCTACTGGTCGAGATTAACTTTTTGCCTGGAATGGCCTCAAACCCTGATCATCTAGATCTCTGCTCTTGAGTAGCTAGGATTACAGGCTTGAGCTACCATATCCAGCTCACTCTGGGACACTTTTGAGAGTAAATGGGGTACAATTAATAGTTACAATAGGCAATAATCATCAAGCAGGCTGACATAAGCAAGGTGAAAGGGAAAACCACTCTGGTTTAGGGCCTGAGTTTGAATCAGTTTCTTGAATAGATAGAAAGAAAAAAAAATAGTATCAAATCTTAAAATCAACAACAAAACAAATTCATCACAGGTAAGTATTGAAGATCAAGGGAAAGTACTTGGAGATGGAGAACAGAGACATGAAAATAATTTACGATGGCAGGCAGAAAACAGAGATCCAACTTGCAAATTTACAAGCAATCTTGAGAAAGATAACAAAACAGAACAAAAGCAGTATTAAAAAAGCAATTAGTAGAAGGAAACTGAGAATGAAGCAGAATTTGGTATTTCAGTTTAAATATACTCCGAGTTCTAGGCAAAATAAAAATAAAAAGAGACCAGCACCTTAGCAATTTGATTGTCGGCCTATGATACAATTCAGGAAAACTAATGTCAACAAAAATGAATTCATTCTGAATATAGGGAAACCAGCATAAGCCAATATTATTTCTCTGACCAACACTGCCATGTAGAAAATAATAATGAATTCACACTAGCAACAAATATAGTGAACTGTCTAGGAATTAACTATGGATTCATAAGGCCTCTCTCAATCTAAAGGTCAATGAAGATGATGTAAATAAGCCTGTTTATACTTTTTTTGGGGCAGCACTGGGGTTTGAACTCAGGGCCCCAAACATGCTAGGCAGGCCTTCTTACCACTTGAGCCACTCTGCCAGCCCTTTTATTTGTGTTGGGTATTTTCCAGATAGGGTCTTGCAAACTTTGCCTGGGCCTGGCTTCTAAATGTCCTCTGGATCCATTTCCTGAGTAGCTAAGTTTACAGGCATGAGCCCCCGGCCCCCGGCTCTGTTTTATATTCTTAATAAGATGATTTAATATTATAAAAATAATCTTTTCAAGTAAAATCTGTGAATTCAATGCAATCCTAATAAAAATTATTGTTGCACTTAATGAACCTATTACACATATTAAGAATAAAGGTCTATGTATAGAGGTTAATCCATCTTAATGAAGAAAAGTAGAGAAGATGGACTTTATCCCACCATAAACTAAGACATACTAAATTAAAAACTGTGGGGCATTAGTGCAAGCACAGGTAAATAGAAAAATGGAACAGAATGGAGCACTCAGAGACAGAAGAAAAAAAAGAAAACACAACATATGACGAAAGTGGCATCAAAAATCAATGGGAAAAGGACAGATTGTCCAGTAGATGGTATAAGAAGACTGTCTAGCCATATAGAGAAAAATTAAAACTGGATTCCTACATAAGCCACTTATAGGTGGATCTAAATGAATTAAAGACTTGAATGCAAAAGACAAAGCTATACAGTACATGGAAGAAATGTAGGATACTATATTGTGACCTAGAAACAAAGAAATTCTTTTTAAAGTTCCAATGCAAATGGTAAAAGGAAAAAAATGAAGAATTTGATTAAAATTAAAGATTTTTTTCAACAAAGCACATTATGAATACAGTTCATTTGAGTGCATAAAGACTAGGAGAACATGTTTATAATATGAATGCAAGGTTAATGTTTAGAATATGCAAGGGATCCCTGACAATCAACAAGAAAATACCAACTCTAGTAGAAAATGGATAAAGGATATGAATGGACAGTTTACTGGAAAACTCACAAAGCAAACAAACATTTAATAAAAGTCTCAAATTCGAGGGTAATCAGGGAAATACAAAGTAAAACAATGAGATCCCATTTTATCCATTGGTTTAGTCTCGCAAGATGTAGGTAGCAGTGTCATACTGGCGGGGATGTAGGCACAGTTACCCTCGTATACAGCTGGTGCTTGTGCAAACTGGTAGTGGTTCTGAAGAGGAAACTGGCACTATTTATTCCAATTAGGTAACTTTTTCCTTAGGTAAATACCCCAAGGACATCCTCCCAGAGGTATATAGTTTTTAATGTACATGCATAAGTTTTTGCATTAAAATGGCCCACATGGAAGCTTGAGAAAGGGTATGGAGATGGAAAGAATGAATGTGAGTGAAATGATGGGTGATGGCAAGTGCAAGGTAGTAAGGTGTGCACTTCACATCTGCACCACACCTGTGGTGGTGATGGTGAATTAGGGAGGTGGTCACAAATATGTTGGCACAATTTAAAAAAAACTGAGAGGAAAAAAAAGCGCTAACTACAAAAGAAAAAGTAGATTGATCCAGATAGCTCTCCAACTTTAAATACCAGAAGATAAAATGTCTTTAAAATTGAGGAAAATTATGAACTTCAGCAGCCAAGTAAGTTTTCCACGTGTGACATACACTCAAAGATATGCATAAACACAAAATCTGCAATTCATGAACATTTCTCAAATTAAAGAAAACATTCAGCAAAGTTTAGAAACATAAAAGCAAGACCTTATTCTTATATATAAAATATAAATTTACCTTTTGTAGGAAGAGAACAATCCTTACAAGCATCTGGGAACGGAGTTCTTCCAAAGTAAACAATGTTCGGGGTGTTCGGATGAAAATTTTGGTCTTCCCATAAGCTATGTCATCTTGGAAACCACAGCGTTCTATCAGTTTCTTGACAGCCTCTTTGTCTGAAGGAAGGTCATGGTTGGGCCAGGTGAATTCAGAGATCATCTTGTACCTGGGCAAAAAAAGAACAAGGTACAAATTAAGGGTCATCTCAAGAGAAAAACTTACTCAACAAAATTCAAGATACTTTATAGAAAATAAAACTTTCTTCTCCCCTCTCCCCCATAAATGGAATACAGCCTGTGGATGGGGCTTAGTGTGGCAAACAAAACCTTCTTAGTGTACAGTTAATAGAAATGAATTTCATTAGCATAAAGGATATAAAAAGTCTTCAATAAAATTCCTTCATTATGATAACTCTTACTAAACTAGGGATAAAAGAGACTTCCTTAATGTAGTAATGGCTACTTACCAAAAATTTATAGCAATGACCATTTGTGAATGAATGACCTTAGAAGCTTTCTCTTAATTAGCACAGTGAGACCAAAAACTACAGTGGTAAATGTTTGAGGAAGAAACAAAACGGACACTACCTATAATATGACTCCAAAAGGAATCAGCAGATCTGGAGAAAAACTCTTTCAACTAAAAGAAAATTAAGCAGTGTTGCTGCACATAACAGCAACCCATAATGATTAACTCTATCTACAAACAGCTCCTGGCTATGTGGGTCTCTCATGAGGGAGCTCACCACACTGCTGCTTGCCTCATGAGTGTAAGACAGAAGCCAGAGTCACAATCTCAAAAGTGACATTCACCATTTAACCACACTCCCTTCTGGTAGACACTTCTACCAGTTCAAGCCACACTCAAAATTATACAGGGCATGATGCCTGGAGGCAGGTGTCAGTGGCCCCCTCAAAACCCTGCCTGCCACAGTGATCACCCACACAGAGTTGTTTAATACACAGTCAAATTAAGTAACTTTTTCTTACAGTCATTGAGAGGCTTTCTTCACACCTGGATTGTAATTTACCCATGTTCTCTTCTAGTACTCGCATTTTCATTTAAAAAACATTTAATGAGCATATATTAATTGTACAAAATAATGGGTCTCATTGTGATATTTTCATACATGCATATAATGCATGTACTTTGATCATATCTCTTATTCCTTCCCTCTCCCGACCTCCTCCTCCTTTCTTTCACTTTGGCAATACTAGAGCTTGAACCCAGGGCCTTGTGTTTCCAGGCAGGTGCTCTACCATGTGAGCCATGCCACAGGCAAAACGTGCTCCACTCTGTTCCATGTGTCTGGCCTAAATCCTACTGCATATATTTCAATGGGCTTGCTTCATTGACGCTCTGCCAGAGCTACAAAGTAGATGATGGTGGGGATGGTGTGGAAATGCTTGCTATGAGTTCCAAGGAAAAGTAAAATGTAAGGATTTGTTTTCCAAGCAGCAAGCTTGGGAGAGACCTTCTCAAGATGGCTCCTAGTACAGCACCATGCTTTTATGACACTTTTATGTTGAAAAAACACAGAGTATTTCTCAAGTGCCAACAGACCATGAAGGAAGCAGAGCAAGATAGTGGCTAAGAGATGACCACTGGAGAAGCCTAGCCACTGTCTTTTTTATGTTTAGATCTCTAATCCATTTGCAATTTATGGTATGTGGTGTGAGGTATGGATCTAACTTTACTTTTTTTTTCTCCCCAGAACATTGTAACATACAAAAACCTTAAAAATAATACAGCTACCCAGTTTCCCTCCATTCTTCCGATGACCCTGTCATCTTTTCTCACCCCTCTCAGGCCTCTGCACCGTGGTTTACTACTTTGCCACAGGACGCCTTCTCTGGGGATGGCTGGCCCTTTCTGTCCTCCTGCCTGGCTTCTTGGTCCAGGGCCTGAGCTACCTGTGGTTCCGAGCAGACCAGCACCAGGGTCATTGCTTGTTGATGATGCTGCACCTGCTTCAACTTGGCATCTGGAAATGGTAAGAACGGCCTCTGAGGCGTGACTGCCTACACGTTATGAAAGAATTCCTCTGTCCCAATGTATTCTGCCCTAAGGCCATGGGAGTTCATGGTCACATCCCTCCTCTGATACTGTCATCCTCTTGTCCATCCTTGAGCATCTGTAGCACTTGGGGGAGAGGTCCTCCATAATCTTTCTTTTTTTTCTTTTTTATTATATTCATACGTGCATACTAACTTTACTTTTTGATAAATAGCTACCCAGCTACTGCACACTGAGAACTACATCCCAACCCCATGTGGTTTGATATGTCATCTTAATCACATACTAAATTTTCATGTGTGCTTCACTTTATTTCTGGACTTAAGTATATTTCTGGTCTGGTTTCAGTGCTATTTGTCTATCTGTGCATTGGTAAAAATGTGATTTTAATTAGAGAGGGTCTAAGTATATTTTAATGTTTTTCCTCATTCTTTTGTTTTTTAAAGGTCTTTCTAGACATTCTAACACGATTATTTTTCCATATCAATGTTAGAATCAGATTTTACAGAAGGGTCTTGCTATGTAGTCCAGGCTGGTCTCAAACTCATGATCCCATGATCCTCCTGGCTCAGTCTCTCAAGTGTGATTAATGCCACTACACCTGGTAAATACATAAAATATATATAAAATGCTGTTGAGTTTTCCTACCAAACCAAGTGCAAGCAATAGTTTCCGGATTATTCACGTCTACTTTTGTGCTTTTCAGGAGTCTTTAAAAGTTTTTCTCATGGGGCGTTCCACATTTCTTGTTAAGATAACAGATATCTACATGGCAGGTAATTTACTCTATTCTTGATGTCACTCTCTCTTCTCAGCTTCCATAACAGCTCACACACCTTAGTTTCCTGTGGTCTCTGGACATTCCTTCTCAGTGTCACTTTCTGGCAACACTGGCTATGTGGCACCCTAAGTGCAGGAGTGTCCCTGGGCTCAGTACAGAGCTTCTAAGTACACTCTCCCCACACTGTTTCATCTAACCCATCGACCTTTTTTTGGGGGGTGGGGCAGAACTGGGGTTTGAACTCAGGGTCTTGTGCTTGTTAGGTGGATGGTGTACCACTTGAACCACACCCTTAGCCTGCCCATTGACTTTTAATAACATTCAGAATACAAAAATATAAGACATAAATGTATAAACATTTAAAAATACATAAAATATAAAATATATTTTTCAACTTGTGAATGTATTACCCCTACCCTCACCCTCAGTTCTGAGCTTCTGACTCATGGATCCAGAGCCCACACAAGTCTTAAAGACATCTTGAACTTCTCTTTCCTACCTTAATCCACTGTAAGGCTGGACTCCTAAGAATATTTTTATCCCTTTTTCCATTACGACTTTTAGTCCATCATCAAGTTCAATTGATTCTACATTCAAAATATATTTAAAATCCAACTAGGGATAGGGCTTACTGGTAGAGAATTTGCCTAGTCACAAGTCCCTGGACTGGGATCCCTTGGCATCTGACTAAGAAAAAAAATCTAACAGTTCTCCTCATCTTTACTGCTGCTATCTTTCTAGTTACAACAATAGACTCCTAACTTGTTTTCCATTTCTTTTCCAATCTATTCTTCAAACATCAGCCACATTCATTTCTTAAAAAGCCATTTTCTTAAAAGCCTTCGATAACTTTTGTATTGCTCTCCTCTTTCCCCACCATCCTTCAATCACCTTGGCTTTGTTTGGTTTTTAAAATTTTTATTTATTTTTTTTTCTTTTATTTATATGTGCATACAATGTTTGGGTCATTTCCTCCCCCTTCCTCCCATTTGTTAGGTTTCTATAATGTGGCTACTTCCTTCATGCTATTTAGTCTTTGCATATGCTGTTCTCACTGCCTGGAATGCATTTTACCTAGTTCCTGAAATGCTGACTCCTTCTCATCCCTTAGTCTTTCCTTGATCTTCCTACATTAACACTCCTCACTTTAATAGCTCACTAAAGAAACTAGTTTTGTGTTGTTTTTTGTCCCTACACCATTCAACACCATTTGTAATCATATTAAGTTGTGAGTTTATCTGTTCAATGTCAGTTTCCCTCACTAGTCTGTGAGTACCTTGAAGGCAGAGACTTTGTTCCCCACTACATACCATCTGCCTGTCATATTGCCTGCCTTAGATATTTGCAGAATAAACAAAGGAATATATTTAAAAGCCTATTCATTTTGCAAGAGGGACATTAAAGTCAAATGAAAGTTTTAATATGAAGACAGAGGAAATAATCACACAATCTCACATGAAGAAAAAGAAGCAAAATAAGCAACCTCTCAAATTTGTTGTAAAACTAGAGTCAGGGTCCACATTTGGGCCCCAGTACGGGTAGTAATGGTGTGTGTCTGAAGTCTCAGAACCACCATGGAAGCTGGAAGCATTCTGGCAGCCACATTAGTTAGTTCACACTGTGGGGTAGAGGCACTCTGCTTTTCTTCTCTCAAGCAAAAACTATGACTCCTGCTCTCTAGCAAACCAGCATCCTGAGCTTGCTAGTGAAAAAGTTGAACTCCTCTGCTTTTTGGCAACTCATTTGACTTCCCCAATGGGCTTCAGCAACTTTTAAGGTTAACAGTATGTTTAAAATCCTCCTCTATTTTTTTAATAAAACAAAGTGACAAGTGAAAATTTAGGTTTAAACCTAGAATGCTTACAAAAAAACCCCTCAAGATCTAAAAGAAAAAATTCACGATAGAAAATATTACTTTTTCTCCCACCATCGATGGAAAATAAACCACCCACTTTCTATCCCACCCCATGTTCCAGTGTTATGACAATAAAATGATAAATTTCTCAATTTGAGGAAACTCATTTTATAGGAATTAGAAGGTGAACCCAGTCTGCAGAGTAAAGATAGGCTACTTTCCCCATAAGCTCACCATCTTATCCAGCACCTGTCTACATGATCCTAGGGAGGTATTCTCCTATACTTAAATAACCATCAATTGCATAGACTTTTGTCTGTCTAAAAGCACATCTTCTAAAGGCTGATTATTACTATGTCTCAATTTTCACAGCTTATATTTTCTATTAGGTGTGCTTTTTTATTCCATTTTATTTTCTCCTTTAATTTGAAAGTTATAATATTAAGTTATGAGGCAACAAAGTTTTTTTTGGTGTGTGGTAGTATTGGGAATTGAACACAGGGCCTTGCTTAGTACATGTTAGGCAAGCATTCTGACACTGATCTACAACCCCAGCCCCTAATACACTGTTAAAGATCACTGGCTCTAGAGACAACTGCCTGAGTTCAAAGGTGGCACCATACCATGTAGCTATGTGACCTGGGCAATTTACTTGTTCTTTCTATGTTTCAGTTTCCTCATTCACATAAAATGAAGGTAAGATACTGCTTTTGCATAGTTGCCAGTTTTGGTGACTTACTGCATATAGAATGCTCAAAATGATGCCTGGTATTAGAGTTAGCATTTCAAAATGCTAGTGACTATTCTAATAATTCTCTTGCAGTTTTCAAAAAATATGAATTATTTTTCCTGCTTAGTCACTATCTATATCATGTTTACAATCAGGATAAAAGTTTACTTATTTCTAGTTTTCTCCTCACCATTGAATTTTAGTTTCAGATTATTACTAAAACTTGTTCTCCTTTATAATCAGTACTGGCTTAGATATACAAAAATTTTGCTGATTTATTTGTTCTATATTGCATGCTTGTATCCCATGTTTCCCTTCCATTCATCTTTCTTTGTGCTAAAGTACATCCTCTGGAAGATTCTTCAGAAAGGATCTATGAATAATAAACTTTCTGAGCATGTCAGAAAAATGTTTACTCATAATTTTGAATGGGAATGTGGCATGGTATGTAATACTAAACATAAATTTCATTTCCTTTGCCATGAAGATATTGCTCCCTTGTCCAGTTGATCAAATGTTGCTAACGAGATTTATGTCTCTCTTTCAATTCAGGTAAATTCTTGGGCATTTTGTTTCAATGGTGCATCTTCCCTATTCTCTCTGTTCTTTCCTTTTGGTACTCCTTAGATGAGCTTTGCCTTCCTGTAGCTGTGGAGGTGGCTTGTTCTCGCCACTATGTCAACCTAGAGCTGGCTGCAGCTATGGTGGACTAACTGGCGTGGTTTCTTTTTCTTTTCTGAGACTGGGCCTTGCTAGTATCCCAGATTGGCCTTGAACTTGATTCTTCTGTTTCAGCCTCCCAAGTGCTAGGATTATAGGCATGTGCCACCACACTTGGCTTGGGATGGCTTTTTCAATGGCAGCTCAAGCCTCAGAAGACAGTCTTTGCTTATAATTTCAACATTAGGTTGCTTTTGAGACTTCACATCTACTTCATATCATATTTAAAAGTGACCTACATCTTTAAGATTCACTGAGAATCCTCTTCTTGATTCTATAGCTTGGCTGTACATTTTCTTAGTTTTAAATATTTGAATTATTTGGGGGATGTTGTGCAGTGGGAATGGGGTATTTGTGCCACAAAGACCACCATATTGGAAATTCATAGGTTCTTATTAATCTTTCTATTTTTATATGAGTATTAGAAAACATATTCTAGTCCTTACTTCCATGCCAAAAACACCAAAATAACACCTTTTGAATTGAAACTAAAGAGTCCTAAAGGAGATTAGAGGTAGGTAAAGGTATGCATTTGCTGAATTCTTTATCCCCTCTTAATCAAGCTTGTTTACTCTTTGTTCCACTTTATCTCACGATAATATATTTTCAGCTCAGGCCCATCCTATAGTTACCTATATCCAAGGTGGTCATTCCAATATTCAACTTCTGCTGATTTTCTATAGGTGACCACATAAAAGCAAAACAGTAAAGCACTGAGCCTTCCTGTATCTGTATTCACGTACTCTGCCTTGAGTCCTGTTGCTATTGGTGAAGTGTCCCTGCTCTTATTCTAAGGCTGACAAACCTTTCTTTTGAGTTTGGGATCCATACCTTCTTGACATCTCAAGAATGTTATTACTATAACTACCTTCTTCTCTCCTGTGTCAAGGGTTTCTTCCTGTCAGTCTGAATCATCTCCACCTGCACACAAACATTTTCTAGTTTCTTTTGACCTTACATCCTTTTCTAGCTATTGCTTCCATTTTTTTCTGTTCCCATGCACGGCAAATATCTTGAACTATTACAGGTATCTAACTCTTCACTTTCCTTTCTTAGACTGCTCAAATCAGACTCCACTTATTTTATCCTTTGACTCCATGTTGCCAAATCTCAAGCTTCTGCTTTTCTTACTTGTTTGCACAGCAACATTTGATATGGTGACCTCACATTCTTCCTAAAATGCCCGTTTCTGGCTTCTGTTGTGGAGAGTGGATTATAGAAAGTCTATGAGAACTGGACAAAGGCGAGATGTGGCTCACCTGCTTTTCTGAGATTGGCACAGCGCCGGAAGCAGAATAGCTGTTTCTCCTAAGTTGTTTGCGTTCAGAAACGCAGGTTTCTCCTGTTACAATGTCATGCCCCTCCCCAAGAGCTGCTGCTCCACCCTGTTTACAGCTGTTTATAAAAGACCCCTGAAGGAGGAAGAGGGGCTTTTTGCCTTTGGCTTTTACATGAGGCTTTTGCCTTTGGCTTTTGCTTTGGACTTTTTGGTGTGGGAAGCTTTTGGAAGGAAAAAGAATTACTGAAGGGAAAAGAATTGGTAAAGGGAAACTGTTGAAAGGAAAAGAATGGCTTAAAAGGGGTTGATAGAACGTGTATACAGAGAACTTTAACACAGGCCTTAGAAAAACTAAGCTAAAGAAAGAACTTTAACATCGGCTTTAGAAAAGCTAAGCTAAAGAAAGGACTTTATACATAGGCCTGAGAAAAGCTAAGCTAAAGAAAAGCCAAAGAGAACATGGGGCAGTGCACAGTGCAAGTCGAAGGACCAAGACTTTAAGAGTTATGCATATGCAGTTTGTAGGTGGGGTTGTTTGCAAGTCTGAGCACCAAGGCTTTAAGAAAGCTAGAGATGGGACAGTGCAAGCTTGGGGGCAAAAGACTTTAAGAGAGATTATGCCAAGGAACAGCTAAGAGAAAACATGGGACAGAGCAAGTCTAAGGAAAGAGGTTTTAAGCAAGGTTTCAAAGAAGACTTTAGAAGCAAGGTTTTAAAGACTTGCAAGGGAGTAAGGCCTCAAAGAATAAAGATAGAGAAAAGAAGCAGTGAGGGTTGGGCGTCTCCACCTGAGTGCCCAACATACCTGACTCCACTTTCTTTCTGTCTATCCTGTGTCTTTTCTGAATCTCCAGTCGCCCCCAGTTAGCTCTAGTTATGTTCAGTAATAACAAGGGAGGGAGAAATCTTGTTCTAACAAAGGAGGGAGTGAGAAAACAGTGCCCCTCCTTTCTGTGACATAACCTTCTTCTGGTTTTCCTTCTGCCTCACTAGTTGCTCTCTTTGCTGGTTCCTTCCTATCAGACCACAAATCTAAATACTACCATGGACCTCCACCTTTTCGCTATCCAGTCCTGAGGCTTTATATATAATCTGTATATTAATGACTCTGACCTTTCTTATCTGCAGCTTGATTTATTTGAGAACTCCAAGGTATGCATAATCAACAGTTTACTTAATAATTTCACCTAAATGTTTGGTAGGTGTTTCAAAGTTAACATAGTCAAGAGAATAATCTTGATTCTATTCTTGTTCCTATTATATGCCTTCCTCTTTAAACTTCTTTTACCCAATTTCATATCAGCAAAAGGTATTATGCTTACCCAGATGCTCAAGTCAAAATCTACTTGTTATCCTTCATTCCTCCCTACTCCTGTCTTGGGCAAGTATGCCCCCAAAATGCATACCAAATGTGTCCACTACTCTTATAGCATCCCCAAACATCTCCTTGTTTTCTATATACACAACAGCCACAGTGGTCCTTTGAAGACATCCATAAGATTGTATCACTCTATGCTTAAACCCACCAATGCTCAAATCTAAATGGTTCAGTCCGTTTAGAAAGTTTGATATGATTTAGCCCATCTATTACTGTTTTCATCTCATACCATCTCCTGTCACTTAGCATCCTTTAACTACAGTGACTACTACATCTGGTATTTGAAGGCAACAAAGTCTTTTTGCTCTCTGTTCCCTCTGTCTTACCTTCTCTCTGATCTTTGTAAGCCCCTGTATGGTTCCTCCCTGAATTATTATTTCCTTAGAGACTCTTGCCTTAGTGACAATTTTCTGCATTTTTCTGGTCTATGTTATGTATTTATTTACTCAGTTTTTCTTGTGGAATCTGCAGTACAGAATGTAGGACATTTCAACACAATTTTAAATAAATAAACAGATAGAATTTAAATCATTTTCCTGATTCCCAGGTGCTGACTACCATTGTTACTATCAACTATAAATTAACAATGGTATAAATATTTTACATTTATTGAGTGATTACTATACAACAGGTACCCTTCTAAGTGCTTTGGGTATATTATCTGAATCTTCCAGCAATCTTTCAAGGTAGTTACTATGATTACCATCATTTCACATATAAGGAAACGAGCCATGGGAAGATTATGTGGTTTTCCCAAAGTCACACAACTAGAAAACAGCCAGTATTCAAACTAGGTAGACTATTTCAGAGCCTCCATGCTTAACTTCTTAGTATTTTCTTATTATGATAACTACTAATATAAGTGATGATAAGCAGCTTTAATTGAACATCTAGAATGTGCCAGGAACCTGAATTTACTTATGCTAATTTAATCCTTACAACATTATACAGACTAAATGTATAAAATGATTATACATCTTACAGATGCAGAAAGAGCTTCAAAGAAGCTACATTTCTGGCCTAAGTTCAGGCAACAAATCAGTGGCACAGCTGAGATTTCAAACAGATGTAACTCTGTAGGTGTGCTCTTTCAAGTATGCTATAGTGCACACATTTCCCTAAAAATGATTGACTTTTTTTCATGGCCCATAAACTACAAACTCCAGTCAATTCTGGGAAAGTGTTTAATATTTGTGACTTCCTTGTATCTTTTGTTCACTTAACAGATATCTGCAGATAGCCTGATATGTACTGGTGCACTGTTGCGCTCAGAGAGGGCTCCGGGACTCCCAGTGTGTTGTTAGGTTTTTCTGCTTGGCCTATCCTCACCTGTGAAGAAATTTCTCATAGGTCTGACGGAAGGCAAATCCTGCCCGACGCACTCTCACATTTTCTAGTAGTCCGAGATATTCTACTTGATGCTGGCAGCGCTCATCATCAAATATCTGGGGGGATTTCTTCTCGTTGGGTTTGATACAACGCACATAGTACGGTTCCTAGAGAAATAAATAAGCCATGATAAATTTCACTGCAGAGCATTTCCAGACTAAGGATGCTAACGTGTAATTAGTATTAATTGTGTCAAACTAAGCTCAGTGTCTCATTTCCCAGGCATACACTTGTGCATAAAGTAGTTATCTTTCCTTTGTCCCTCAATTCAAGGTTAGAAGTTCTCACACATTCATCTAAGTTTTGATTTTATTATGTTTTAAGAGTCATGAGAAATAGCAGAAAAAAGCTAAAACTGAGGAGAAAATAAGTGAGACATAAACACTGAGCTTTGGTGCATATATAAATGAAGAAATAACTCCATTGAAAAAAGCAGAAACTTTGGTGAAGATCAAATGCAACAAAGAATGCTAAATATTAAAGTGAGCTCTGGTATATACTAAGTGCTCACTAAGTGTCAGCCATTATTATCATTATTATTATCACATTAGTTTATGCTTTGAAAAAGACATTATGCTTTCTGGGTAAGTAGAGGTTATAAAACCACCTGTAGGTGTCAGTGATTCTAAAAAAGAGCCCAAATAGAGATCCTTTCCTCTGTGCCAATTATGTTTTGTACCAGGCATTAGATCATAACTCCTGTTAAATATACAACTGTGCTTGGCATTGATTATCACACAGAGGATAATGAATAAATTATCACTCGATGAATCCATGAGATCAAATATATCCTACTTATAAGTGCACAGCTTCTTTCTCTTCTCTGAATTCATTATCCATCAGACACACAGATGCACTTTAATTAAGATATTCAGTACTTTGTAAATGATAGTTTTGAGTTTTGCAAAAGGCTTGAGATGACAAGGGGTAGCAAATAATTCAAGAAGTAGGAGAGATTTGAAGAATGTGAATTGATTTGCATTTTGAACAGAATAACACTTTCAATATCTAAAAAGGAAGTTGGTATTGTATATTTATCATGTTCCCTACATGATAAGAAGAAATATCATTTTCTTCCTTTTCTGTAAGTCCTGCTATATTAATTTCTTATTGTTGCTGTAGAAGATTATGACAAATTTAGTGGCTTAAAACAACACAACTTTATTAGTTTACAAGTCTGAAATGGGTCTCAATGGGCTAAAATCAAGGTGACAGGAGAGATGTTACTTTCAGGAGGATACAGGAGACAACCTGCTTTCTTATCTTTTCCAGTGATGGTTAACCTGGATTGGCAACTTGACTGGACTGAGAAGTGCCTAGGAGATTAAGAAATCACATTTCTGGGTGTATATATGAAGGTGTTTCCAGAGAAGAATAAATAAGGGGGGAAGATCTAACCTGAATGTGCACAGCACCATCTCATAGGCTAGGGGCCTAGACAGAATAAAAGAGGAAAAGAAGAAATCCCATGAGTGCAGGCATTTACTCTGTTTGCCACTGCCATAATGTGAGCTTCTCTGCTCAAAATGTAAGCTGTTCCATCATCCTCCTTTCCCTTCCATGATGGACTGAAGCACTGGAAACCATGAACCAAAATAAATCTTTCCTCCTTTCAAGTAGTACTATCAGACATTTTGTCACAGTGACGAAAGGCTGATAAACACAGAAAATTGGTACCAGGAATGGGGATCACTGATGTGACTAAAACTGACCATGTGGTTCTTAAGCTTTTAGAACTGGTGTTTGAGAGGAATTTGGAAAAGTTTGGTAAGTGGGCAAGAGAAAACCTAGGATGCTGTAAGCAGAGTTTAATGGGTGATTCTGATGGGTGCTCAGAAGACCAGAATGTTGAAAGGAATGCAGACAGTGCAGACTGTGCTCAAGAGGTTTCAGATGGGCATGAGGACTCTACTGGAGGTGAATTTAGAGGCCATTTGTGTTATATGCTGGCAAAGAACTTGGCTACATTTTGTCCATGCCCTGAGACTTTGAGAGAGGCTGAGTTTGAAGGTGATAGGCTAATTAATGTGGTTGAGGAAATTTCAAGGCAGTCCAGCATTTAAGCTGTGTCATGGTTACTGCTGGCTCGTAAAAGTAGCAGTCACAAGCTCAAGGGGATGAAAGAGGAAACTAATTTGAGAGACTCTGCTTGGAGAAGAAAGTTCCAGAGAATCCTGTGTACAGTGGGCCAGGTAAGAAAGTGGGCAAGAAGTGTTTCCCTATATTCACATTTAGAGATCACTACTGCTGTGATCAAAGGGAGCCTGACTACTGCTTGATCTGGAGGTAGACCTTGGTGTTGTCCATGTGATGCTGGTTTTGCAGGCATACAGAATGTGAGAGTTTGGGGGTTATGGAGGTTCCATCCAGTTTTCAAAGGAAGGCCTGGGAGGCCAAGGTCAGAATGCAAGGCAAGATCAGAATCCCTGAAGGCAATGCCTAAGAGAATGATACATGAAACTGTGAGGGTAAAGCCAAAGATGCAATGGAGGTCCCAGGAAGTTGGAGATGTCAGGAATGTGGACCATCTGCTAAGGAAAGCTGTAAGCAGTGAGTGGAGCCAGTCCAAGACAGAAGCCATGTGGGCTACAGCCAGCAAAGCAACAGGGACAGGGCTGTCAAAGCCCAGTGGAACTCACATCATACCACTATATGACTGAAATGCTGACATGGAGCTGCAGGATTTAATGTTTGCCCTGATGAGTTTTGGTCTTGCTTTGGTCTGATCCTGCCTTTCTACACCTTCATTCTTCCCTTTTGGAATGTAAATGTTTACTTTGTGCCATTGTAAATTGGAAGTAGGTAACTTTATTTTTGCTTTTATGGGGCTCACAACTAAGAGAATGCCTTAGGTCTCAGTAGAAAAATCGGACTTGAAATTTTCAACAACGTTAAGACTACAGGAACTCTTGGAGATAGACTGAATGCATTTTGCATTATGAGATGGATGTGAGACTTTTGGAGGCCAGAGGCAGAGTGGAACATTATGGGTTAGGAAGATGAGTTTGGGTGTCAAGTTGACAAGGGGTGGCCTTGGATGGTTAATCTTGATTGACAACTTCTTTGGATTGAGAGGTACTTGGAAGATTAGTAAAGTACTACCTCTCTGGGTATGTATGTGAGGGTATTTCCGGAGGGTATTAATTAAGGGGGGGAAGACCTGTCCTGAATGTGGGTTGACACCATGCTTTAGGTTGAGGGCCCAAAAGTAATAAAAGGGGAAAATAAAGGAAGACTCCATTCACGTGCGCATGTTCTCTCTCTGCTTCCTGGCCACCAAATGTGAGCTACTCTGCTCTATCACACCCTCCTTGCCATGATGGACTGAAACCTCAGAAACCATGAGCCAAAATAAATCTTTTGTCCTTTTAAGTTGTTCTGCCTAGCATTTTATCACAGGCGAAAGCCTCATTCCTTGGCTTCCCTTTCATCTTCAAAGCCAGAAATGGCCAGAGTCTTTCTCATGGTGTATCTTTCTGGTTCTAACTCTTTCTTCCCCACCTAAGCATTCTGATTATACTGGACCCACCTGGATATTCCAGGATAATGCCTTTCTTTGAGGTAAGTAGGCTTAACTCTATCTGCAACCTTAATTTCACCTTACAGTGTAACATAACATGTTCACAGGTTCCGGGGATTAGAGCCTAGATATCCTGGCAGGGTCCTATTGTATAACAATAATAAAGCATATATGGTATACTAGTAAAATATATGGACATTGAATTCAATCATGCATTCAATGATATAACCAATCATGCTTACATAATGAAACCCTGATAAAAACTCAGTATGCTGATGAGGCCAATAGGAGAAGAGGACCAGGAATTAGAGAAAAGGTTAGTTCAGAAGAATTAACTTAGAAGGTAACACACATGCACAGGAAATCAATGCGAGTCAACTCCCTGTATAGCTATCCTTATCTAAACTAGCAAAAACCCTTGGTCCTTCCTATTATCGCTTATACTCTCTCTTCAACAAAATTAGAGATAAGGGCAAAATAGTTTTTGCTGGGTAGCAAGGGGGTGGGGGGGGAGAGAGAGGGGGTCGGGGGGTAAGGGAGGGGGTGGGGGAAGGGGGGAGAAATGACCCAAACATTGTATGCACATATGAATAAAATAAAAATTAAAAAAAAAAAAAACCTCAGTATGCTGAGACTTGGAGGAGCTTCCTGGTTGGTGAACAGACTGATGTACTGGGAGAGTGGTACAGCCAGACTCCATGGGGAAGGAAGCTCATGTGCTTTCACCTTGCTTCGAGACCTTGCCAGCTATGTATCTCTTCATTTGGCTGTTTGTGTCCTTTATAACAGAACCTTTGTAAGTACAGCATTTTCCTCAGTTCTGTAAATCATCCTAATGAATTCTCAAATGCATGGGCACTCCCAAATTTGTACCCAAGTCATACAGAATGTGTCCCATGGATCCCACTAGTAGATGGCATTTGAAGTCAAGGACAGTCTTGTTGGGTTGCTCTTTAACTTGAATCTGATGGTAACTTTGGCTGGTAAGTATCAGAATGGAAGTAAATTGTAGGACACCTAGCTGGTATCAGGCTTGTTGATGCAATGCAGGGGTCATTATTCTGCCTAGCACGCCTACCTGTTTAAAATCTTATCATCTATGGGAGAATGAAAAACATGACCATAATATCTGCGACACCTCCCATTAAGATAAATTTCTACCCCACACTCTGAATCTAGGCTGGCTTTGATTGCTTTATCAATACAGTATGGTAGAAGTGACACTAAGTTACTTCTGGAGATATGTCCTTGAGAGGCTTTGCCCTCTTGGAAAAGGAGCACTTCTTCACTTCTTCCAGCATGTGAAAAAGCCCAGGACTAAAGACTATGTGAATAAAGATGCCCAGACACCCAGTCATGCCATTTAAGTGGGAAAGTTTTAGACTACCAAGCCACAACTGACTAGAACTATTTGGTGAGCCCCACAAAAGAAACCCACTGCCCAATCAACTCTCTGAATAAGGAGGAATAATAAACTTTTGTTGTCTTAAGCACTATATTTCAGAGTAATCTGCTATGCATTGATAACTCTCCCTATTCTGGAACATCAATCCTTGGTTTAGATTTTACATTTTGGTATATTTAAGT